GGCTGGGCGGCGGGATGACCTCGTTCACCCCGGAGGAGTACGGCCCTGGGGCGCGTTGCATCGACACACTGCTGCCCTTTCAGGCCGGCACCACCTCCGCGCGACCTCATCCACTAAGGAAAGGGAGGAGGAAAGGGAGGAGGAGGAGCAGGACGAGGAGGATGAGGAGGAGGAGGGGGAGGATGAGGAGGAGCAGGAGGAGAAGGAGGAGGAGGAGGAGGGAAAGGAAAAGGAGGAGGAGGAGGAAGAGGAGGAGCCTCCATCCATCCATTCCTGCACAATTCCACATCGTGAATGTTACTTTTCTCCCTCACCTGACGACTTCAGTGCGCATTGCTGCCTCTCCCCGTATTGCGTTTACCACAGGATTTCAACCCTGTCTTCCCCACCATACTGTGTTGTTGGCACATCCTTTTGCATCAGCAGCGCCCCGCGTTCCTCCCTCATTCCTCCTCCTCCTCCTCCTCCTCCTCCTCCTCATCCCCCGAGACCCGAGTGTGACGGGCGGCTCGCGCCCGGACTCGCCCGGGCGCGCTCCTCCTTCTTCCTCCTCCTCCTCCTCCTCCTTCCTCGCCCCGCGCGCGCGCGGGTAGGCGCACTAGACTCAGGGAGGTACGGGCGCTTCTTCTCCTCCTCCTCCTCCTCCTCCTCCTCCTCCTCCTCCTCCTCCTCCTCCCTACCTCCTCTGATTTAGGCAGACTCCTCATACGTTTCGCGGCCTCATAGGGCGACCCAGCGGCTCAAATGCCGAAGTTCACATGAGTTCCCGTCATTCATGTTGGCGCACCCCTTGCACGTCTCGTTGCCCCATAGAGAGCCTCAAACATGAGCTCCCGCCTCCCATGTCGGCAGACCCCTCGCATGTTTTGTGGTCTCATGTGAACTGTTGCATGTGGACCCACATGCAACAGCTCACACGAGTTCCCGCCGCGCATTTTGGCACACCTCACGCACGCTTCGTGGCCCCATAGGGAGTCCCAACCCAGGCCCGAATGCCAAAGTTCACATGAGTTCCCGCCTTTCATTTTCGGCGCACCCCCCGCATGTCTCGCGGCGGCCCCATACAGAGCCCCAAGTACGGCCCACATGCCAACGTTCACATGAGTTCCCGCCTGTCATGTCGTCAGACCCCTCGCACGCCTCGTGTCTCAGATGGAGCCCCAACTTTGGCCCAAATACCAATGTTCACATGAGTTCCCGCCACTCATATCGGCATACCCCTCGCACGTCTCGTGGGAGTCCCCACTAAGGCCCAAGCGCCAAAGTTCACATGCGCTCCGACTTCTCATCTCGGCACCCCCCTCGTACGCCTGGCGGCCCCCCAGGGAGCTCCAGCTCAGGGCCACATGCCAGCGTTCACACGAGTTCCCGCTTCTCTTTTCGACACGCCCCTCGCACGTCTCGTGGCCCCATGGTCAGAGCGTGAATTACCTACCCCGCTTTTGCTTCCAGGCAAAACCAAGCCATACCATGCGCCTCCTCGTGAAGCGGCCTGACCAGTACAGGCTGCAATTTGGCATCGTTTGGTATCTCTTGGAAGCGAGGGTGGTCAAAAGCGAGGTAGGTTTGTTGTCCCCCTACATGGGGAGCCCCACCTTCGGCCCAAATGCAAAAGCTGGCTTGACTCCCCGCATCCTGTTCCGGCACACCCCTCGCGCGCTCCGCGGCTCCAAAAGGAGCCCCACCTCCGGTCCAAAATGCCAAAACTCACGTGAGATCCCGCCGTTCCTTTCGACAGACCCTTTACACGCTTCGTGACTTCACTGGGAGGCCCAAGTGCCACAGTTTACATGAGATCCCGCTTCTCCTGCCAGCACACCCCTCACACGTTCCGTGGCCCCTCAGGCAGCCCCAGCTAGGGCCAAGCTGGCAAAGTGCATTGACTTCCCTCTTCTAATTTCGTCACGCCCCTCGCACATCTCGTGGCCCCATGGGGAGCCCAATCCAAGGCCCAAATGCCAAAGTCGACTTGGTCCCCCGCATCCCCTTCCAGCTCACCCCTGACACATTTCGCGGCCTCATATGGAGGCCTAACTAAGGGCCAGATGCCAAATGCGGCTTGATTTTCCGCATCCCATTCCGGCACGCCCCTCACATGTTTCGCTGCCTTATGGTGAGTCCCGACGAAGGCCCACATGCCAAAGTGCATATGAGCTCCCGCCTGTCATGTCGGCAGACCCCTCACACGGTTGGTGGCCACATAGGGAGCCCTAGCCAAGACCCAAACCCCAAAGTTCACATGAGATCCCGCTTCTCATTTCTGCGCGCCCTTCGGATGTTTCGTTGACCCACAGGGAGACCCAACTTTTGGCCAAATGTCAAAGTTCACATGCGCTCCCGCTTCCCATGTCGGCACGCACGCACACAAGCACAACAGGCATCACACACACACACACGCACGCACGCACGCACGCACGCTTGCACGCACGCACACACACACACACACGCACCCACCCACCACCCACCACCCAAACACCCACCACCCACCACCCACCACCCACCACCAACCACCCACCACCCACCACCCACCACCCACCACCCACAACCCACCACCCTCAACACACAACACACAACACACAACACACACACATTACACCATACACAATACGCAACACAACACACAACACACGACACACGACACACGACACACGACACACGACACACGACACACGACAACACACGACACACAACACACGACGCACGACACACAACACACGACGCACGACACACGACACACGACACACCACACACCACACACCACACACCACACACCACACACCACACACCACACACCACAAGTCACAACTCAACACAACACACAACACACAGCACACAACACACAATAGGCAACACAACTCACAACACACAACACCCAACATACAACACACACAGCACACAGCACAAACCACACACACACACCTCGCACGTCTCGTGACCACCTAGGGAGCTCCACCGAAGGTCGCAGGATGGTTTACGTGGCGCCTCCGCGCCTATTTCGGTACTCCCCACGCACTTTTCGTGGCCCCCCCACCTTCGTCTTACCTGCCGCGTGATACTCGCAGCTGCATGTGGCAGGGTCTTTCGCCAAGATCGTCTTGGTATGTTTTTCTGGCCAGAGCGTTTTCGGCGTTTCAAAATAATGCCCCAGCTGCAGCCAGCGCACGCCTCATTTTGAATGACGCTTTGCCCCAACCGTTCAGAATGACGCTCTCGCCCAAGCGCGGGCATTTTTGGACACCCGAGTCCTCCCTCATCGTTGTCTCACCGCTCATTTTCCTCCCTCTGTCTTTCCCTGGTCCTCCTGCTCCTCCCGCTCCTCCCACTCCTGCACAGTCGATTTCAGCAGTAATCGAGAAGCCAATGCGGGACCTTCGACGTCCCTTATCTGGAATATCCTGGAATATCCAGCTCATGCTGCTCTTCCTCAGCCAGTGTGCACAGCTCCTCTTTCCTGATTGCGCATGACACGATGGCGTCCTTTTGGAGGTTCCAGGTGCGCTGTGGCACGCGTCGGCGGATAGAGACACACGCAGCGCAACGGAAAGGGATGGGTTGGAGGGGCAGGATGCCAGACACGGCGCGAGCGCACCTGGCTTGCCCGCTCCCTCTCTCACCCCGACGACGCCGACGGGTGCGGCGGCGGCGGGGAGCCTCGCCAGGTTAGCGTGTCGTTCCCTGTAGACAGCACGGGCATCTTGCAGGCCATGGAGGCCCTCCAGTCTGCCTGTCGCCGTCGCCGCGAGACTTGCAGCGCGGGGAGGGATTGCCGCGCGCGGACTGGGATGTGGATGAGGCGAGGATCGAGAATCGAGGCGTGAGGTGTCTTACGTAACTACTGCCGTTTCTTCAAAGCCCCGAGAGGGTTCCAGATGCTTCCCAAGGCTGTCGGAGAACTCTGGAGACCTTCGGGGACCTCCGGGGACCTCCATGGGACCGTCACGATTTGGGGAGTATGGATGAAGGGGCGAGGAAGGTTTATCGTTTCTTTTACTGTTGTTACTTTGGTTCCTGTTTTTTCTCGGACACTGGGGCGTCTTCCATCCGCTGTGCCTCGTCGAGAGCTTTCCGGGGAGGTGGGAATCTTCCAGACGGGCCGCCAAAGGCCAGAATTCTTGCCGAACAGCACCCAAGGGATGAGGATAAAGATGTTGTTCGTTGTTGCTGCTGTTGCTGAAGTAGTCCCCGGGGGCCCTCGCCGTCAAGGCCGCATTCGCCTCGGTGTCAGCAGGCGCCCCGGAGGCAACGGGCCGGACTTTGGCAAACCCTCGCCGGACACCTCAGGCGGCAACGGGCAGCAATGAGGCGGCAAGGGATGGCAACTGGCGGGAAGGTGGCGGATCCTCGCCAGATCCCCCCAGCGGCAATGGGCGGCAATGGGCGGCAACGAGGCGGCAACCCATGGCAACGGCCAGGAACGGGGCGAATCCTCGGCAGGCCCATCCGATTCCTTTGGAACGTGCAAGCACCATTGACATACATGTTGCCCTCGCGCTGGGGCCAGCTTGGACGTTCTAACGCCTCGCCGCCCCCCTCGTCCAGACCCAGGGGGAGGGGGTAGGGGGAGGAGGAACACCTCCCCCGAAGGTGAGGAAGGTGTTTGGAAGAGGAAGCGCTCCAGACCACCTACGTACTAAGGCACCCACCTTTCCGTACCCACTTTTGGACTCCCTCCTCCTCCTCCTCCTCTTACTCTTTTTTCTCCGCTTACGCCTCTTCTTACTCTTCTTACCCCGAAAACTGAATGCTGGTTACAGCGTGCGTTCGCCTACATATCACATTTTTCCCAACCCTCCTGCGTGTTGGGTCCTCGTTTTGAATTCGCGGCGCCGCGCATCTCCTTCTCCTCCCTCCTCCCCCTCCTTCCCCTGTCCTCTTCCTCTTCATCCTTGCCAGCATTATCACCAACATCATCATCAACATCACCATCACCATAACCATCACCATCACCACCACCATCATCATCATCATCATCATCATCATCATCATCAGCATCATCACCACCATCATCACCATCGTAATCATAATAATCATCATCACTCTTATGATCACCATCAGCATAATTATCATCAAAGCTGCCACCATCATCACCATTATCCTCCTGCTCCTCCTCCTCCTCCTCCTCCTCCTTCTCATCATCATCATCATCATCATCATCATCATCATCATCATCATCATCATCATCATCATCATCATCATCACCATCCTCCTCATCGTTCCAGAGCTCCACCGAGGCCCCAGTGGTAGAGTCAGCATAGTTACTCGGGGAAATTCTGGCACACCCCTCGCAAGTTTCGTGGCCCCACAGCGAGCTCTAGAGAGGGCCCACGAAGTTGCGTCCGCATGGTTATTCGGGCCCATTCTGGCACACTCCTCATATGTGTCGTGGCCCCACGTCGAGCTCCACAGAAGGCCCACGTGGCTGCGTCCGCATGGTTACTCGGGCTCATTCTGCTACACCTCTAACACGGTTTGTGGCTCCACAGGGAGGTTCACCGAAGGGCTTAGTGGTCGCGTCCACATGGTCACTCGGGTCAATGCTGGCACACCCCTCACACGTGTCGTGGGCCCACAGCGAGGCCCCAGTGGTAGCGTCTGCATGGTTACTGGGGTTCATTCTGGCACACCTCTCACACGTTTCGTGGCCCCACAGGGAGGTCCACCGAAGGCCCCAGTGGTAGCGTCCGCAATGTTACTCGGGTCCATTTCGTCACACCCCTCCAACGTTTCGTGGCCACACAGCGAGCTCAACCGAAGCTCTAGTGGTCGCGTCCTCCCATTCTGGCATACCCCTCACGCGTTTCGTGGCCCCACAGGGAGGTCCACCAACGGCCCCAGTAGTAGCGTCTGCATGGTTCTTCGGGTCCATGTTGGCGCATCCCAAGCTCCAGTGACAGACACGGCGTCCTGTTCCAAGAGAGTCCGCTGCTAGTGCGGGTTGCCAACTGCGAAGCCGTCGCCGCTTTCGTGTGCGTTTGGGAGGTCCAGCGGAGCGGTGTGGCTTAACGGTGAGGTTGCCCATCGGCCCATTTGATCACTCCCCACTTGACCACGAGTAAGGCTCGTGTGCCCTTGTTTTCCGGTCTGTGCTATCGCTACCGCCCTGCGAGGTTGCCCATCGGTCCCTCTGACAGCTATTCGTCCATGCATTTTGTCGGCCGCGTCCTGCCTGGACTTCTGCCCGTGGCGCTGGAGCTATGCAAGGTTCCTCAATTTATCTCTTCTCCTGCTTCCTCTGCCCTCGCCCTCGTGGTCCGCGCCGCATGCATTGTGCACTTCCCGTGCGTGATTTGAGTCGCGTGAGTGCGCGTTGATCCTGGTCCGAAGTTCTCCGGCGAAGTTTCCAGGGGTACTGCGGAACTCAATAGCGGGTTCTTGTGCATTGAGCGGTGAATGTGTTGAGTTCTTCGCCTGAGTAATTTAGGCCACGGCCTCCACGCCATGCCCTAATTGATACGGGCGGGCTCCCAAGAGGAGCGCGCGTCGCTGTCGTCCGCTTCGCTTGGCTTCGATTCGTCGTTGTCGTCGTCCTCCTCCTCCTTCTCCTCCTCCTCCTCCTCCTCCTCCTCCTCCTCCTCCTCTTCCTCCTTTCCTTCTTCCTCCTTCTCGCCCGCTTCCTTCTCTTTCTTTCCCTCCCGCTCTCACTTCTCCCATCGTCGTCGTCCTGGCGGTGGTCGTGGTGATGGTGGTGGTGGTCGCCGTCTTGGTCGTTGTCGTGTTCGTGGTTGCCGCCGCCGACGCCGCCCCCGCCGCCGCCGTCGTCGTCTTCGTCGTCGTCGTTGTCGTCGTCGTCGTCGTCGTCGTCGTCGTCGGCGGCGGCGGCGGCGGCGGCGGCGGCGGCGGTGGAGTCGGCGCTGCGCCGCTGCCCCAGGCCGCCGAAGGCCGCCGCCCGCCGCCGACGGCCATTGAAGGCCTCTGACGGCATCCGACGTCCTCCGAAGGCCGCCGAAGGCCGCCGGAGGCCTCCGAAGACCGCCGGGGGCTGTCGGAGGCCGCCGAGGGGCTCCGGTCCGCCAGGTCACCCTGTCGCAGGAGCTCCACGACTGCCCACTCACGCTCAGGCGGCGCGGCCGGGGTGGGGAGCCGTGCCTCCAGGATCGGATCGCGGGGGAGGGAGCCAGGAGGAGTTGGAGGAGAGGGGGGCGGGTGTCGCCTTCCTCCTCCTCCTCCTCCTCCTCCTCCTCCTCCTCCTCCTCCTTACTCCTTCCTGCTGCTCCTCCTCCTCCTTCTCCCTCCCTTTCTCACCATCAGACGTGTCGTTGGGGCTGGCTGGGGGATCCGCCTGAGACATCCACCCAAGTGGTTTTCAAAACAGGACCCTCGCTTTGGCGCCGCGTACACTCGTCTCAAGCAGTGCGACAGTTGCGCGGATGGGCGGCAGTTCCTTTTCAACATGGGGCTCTCATCTGATACTTCCTCAACATGTGTTCGAGATCTTTACGCCATTCCGCAGACCCCCCAGAAGAGGATTTTCTGTCGCAGCTGAAGGCGAGCGCGCCAGCAGCGTCGGTAGAGTCGCACGGGCCGCGGGCAAGAAGAGGATACGCGCGGTTTCCGATTTCGTGTGTGTGTGTGTGTGTGTTTCAAGCTGGGGCTCTGGCTTTGGCGCCGTGTGCACCCGACGTAAACTATCCAACAGTTGCGCGGATGGCTGCCAGTTCATTCTCAAAATGAGGCTCTCGCCTGACATGACATCTTCGCAAGTGCTATTACGACAAGTATCCAGCTGCCTGCGGCAAATCCCGACTCCGTGCGAGCTCAGCATTCTGGGTGTCGACTGTTCGCGAGGGCACTGGAGGCAGTCACGTGTGACACTTCGTGTCCCCCAAGCCTGGGTGAGCCGTCATAAGGATGATGAGGATGATGAGGATGATTATGAGTGTTGAGAGGAGCAGGAGGAGGAGGAGGAGGAGGAGGAGGAGGAGGAGGAGGAGGAGGAGGAGGAGGAGGAGGAGAACGGCCGTCACACGTGGCACCTGTTGTTTTCGTTTCTTGGCAGTCTTGAGGTTACCTCGGGGCCGTCCTGAGGCCCTCTCGCCCGAGTGGCAGAGCTCGCAGGCGTGACAGCGCCCATTCTGGCACACCCCTCACACGCTTCGTGACCCCATAGGAGCTTCACAGAGGGCCTAAGTGGCAAAGTTCTCACGCGTGGTTACGCCCATTCTAGCACACCCCTCACACGCCACGTGGGAGCTCCACAGAGGGCCTAAGTGGCAAAGTTCTCATGCGTGATTACGCCCATTCTGGCACACCCCTCACACGCCACATGGGAGCTCCACAGAGGGCCTAAGTGGCAAAGATCGCATGCGTGACCACGCCTATTCTGGCACACCCCTCGCACGCTTCGTGGCTTTAAGAGCTCTACAGTGGGCCTATGTGGCAAAGTTCGCATGCGTGACCACGCTCATTCTGGCACACCTCTCACAGGCATCGGGCCCCCATAGGGATGTCTACCGAAGGAACCAGTAGCAGCGCCCGCATGCGGACCCGGGTCCCATGTTGGCACGCCCCTCACACGCTTCGTGGCCCCATAGGGAGCTCCAACGACGGCTCTAGTGGCAGCGCCCGCATGGACCCGGGTCCCTCTTGGCACACCCTCCACACGCTTCGTGGCACAGTAGGGAGCTCTACTGAAGGTCACAGTGGCAGCGCCCGCATGACGACTCGGGTCCATCTTGGCACGCCCCTCACACGTTTAGGGGCTCCACCGACGGCCTCAGTGGCAGCGTTCGCATGCGGATTCGGCCTCATTTCGGCACACCCCTCGCACGCCTCGTGGCCCAATCGGGTGCTCCACTGACGTCTCCAGTGGCAGCGCCCGCATGCGGACTCGGGCCCATTTCGGCACATCCCTCACACGTTCGTCTGCCGAATACGGAGCTCCACCGACGGCTCCAGTGGTTGGCGCCCGCATGATGGCCCCGCCCTGTTTTGGTACACCTCTCACACGTTTCGTGGCCCCATAGGGAGTTCTACCGACGGCTCCAGTTGCAGTGGCCGCGTGTGGACCTGGGTCCCATTTGGCACACACCCCACCCCCCCACACGTATCGTGGCCCCATAAGGGAGGTCCACCGACGGCCCCTGTGGCAGCGCCCGCATGCGGACCCAGGTCCATCTTGGCACGCCCCCCCTCACACGCTTCGTGGCCCCACAGGGGCTCCACCGAAGGCTCCAGTGGCCAAGCCCGCATGCGGACTCGGGCCCATTTAGGCACACCCCTCGCACGCTTCATGGCCCAATGGGGAGCTCCACCGACGGCCCCCGTGCCAGCGCCTGCGTGCGGATTCGGGCCTGTTTCGGCACACCCCTTTCATCGAATGCCACAGTGGCAGCGCCCGCATGCGGAACTGGGCCCAGTTCGGCGCACCCCTCACACGTTTATTCGCCCCATAGGGTGCTCCACTGACGGCCCCAGTGGCAGCGCCCGTATGACGGCCACGTTCCGTTTTGGCACACCCCTAACACGCATCGTGGCCCCATAGGCAGCTCCACCGAAGGCCCCAGTGGCAGCATAAGGATCTCTACTGAAGGCCCCAGTGGCGGAGCCCGCATGGCTCGAGTTGCATTCGCGGCACGCTGTATAACTATATCGGACGCCACTCGTAGTTTGATCGCTCTTCTCATTCGTACCACCTGCCTTTTGGTATTCGCAGCTGCATCTGATTGGGCCTTTCGTCAGGCTATTTTGCCCAACCAGCCTGTGGTGTTGGGTCCTCGTTTTGAAGAGACTGCGCCCCGTGTCGCTCACCTCCTGACCTCCCTCCGCCTCATTGTCGGCGGCGGGCCTGGGGCGGAAGTGAGAGTGGGGAGGCCTTCTCAGAAGGCGGCGGGGCTTCTTAGAAGCCCGTCTCAGTGTTTTCGGAGAAGGCTTAGAACACTTCTTAGAGGGCGCGAGGGCTTCTGAGAAGCCCCGCCGCCTTCTGTCGCAGGCAATGCTTCCTCCCGCTCCTCGAGTTCCGCTTGAACAGTTCTGTGCCGTTCGGGGCCGGAAAAGAGGGGGGTGATGACTAGGGGGAAGTGGATATCATGGCGGGGGCCATGATATTTCCCCAGATTTCTTGGCGCCTCTTCTTATTTCATTACGTCCCTGGCCACCCCGCTGGGCCGCGCACATGCCGCCGGTCATGATTTGCCCCCCCCCCTCTTGGACACCCCCCTCTTGGCCGCTCCCGAGCCGTTTAGAAAAAGGGGGGGACCCCCACCCCCTGAGACACCCCCAGGGGGCTATTCGGACGCATCCTCAGCGAGGGTGGACGCCCCCCATCGTGCATCTCCCAGGGTCGGACCTTTCATTTCTGGTCCCCTCGGAGACCTCCCAGAGCCTGGGCGAGGGGCCGACGCCTCCCCTGTTATTCTGGGGAGGCCTGCCCCCTCCCCTCCACTTCCCTCCTGGGCGCGCCGCCAAGAGACTGCTTCCTGCCTGGCGCCCCCACGGCCTCGCCGCGGCTGCTCTCCCCGGCGGCGCCGCGGCAGCCTGGCGCGCCGCCGCCCCTGCAGCCCATGGCTCTCGGCCTCCCAGATGGGGTCCGATCAGATCGGGTCGGAGGAGCGCGCCGCATCGCCGATGCATCGGCGATGGGGCTCGATGTGGAGCCCGATTATCTCCACGCCGATGACGCCGATGCATCGCCGACGTCGCGGATGTATTGCCGATGCGTCGGCGATGTATCGCCGATGCATCGGCGATGCGGCGCGAGCCTCCGACCCATCTGCTCGGACCCCACCCAGGAGGCCTCTACTCTGGCCGCCGCACGCTGCCGCCACCCCAGCCCGGTCTTCTCCTCCCCTTCCTGCTCCTCCATTTTGGCTCAAGCGACTGCATGGCCTGGACGCGTCCCGCGAGCGACATGTCGTGGCCTAGAGGGGCTCGGGCCGCGCTCGATGCTGCTTGCCTCGTCGAGGCGGCTGTTCGCGCGGCGGTGCAGGCGAAAGCGCCTCGGCAGACGGTAGCAGCTGTCACCCGCTCGGCGGTGTCGGCCGTGCTCTTCGTGAGCGCTGGCCCGCCTGACCCGCCCGCTGCTGCTGGGGGCGTCGGCGTGGACGATGCGAAGAAGGACGATGCGAGGCGCGCCCGCCGCCGTCGGCGGCGCGAGCGGCTCGCGGCGCGGCGGCGGGAGGCGCGCGGCCATCCGGCTGCTGCCACTGTAGCTGCGCCCTGCCTCTGCTGGGATGGCGGAGGCACCGAGGCGCCTGCTGGAATGCTGGCGGTGGCTGCGGCTGCTGTGGCCCCTGGAGGCGCAGCGCGCGCGGCCGCCATGGAGGACGAGGACGCGATGATCGACGACAGGTGGGCCGACTCCCTGCCGCCCCGCATTCCGCGGAGGCGCGGCAGGCACAAGGTCGCTGTGGCCAGGGCTGCTGGCGCGACTAGAGATGTGGCGCCTGGCGCGGCGGCGGTGCCCCCTGGGGCGCCCGTGGCCGCCTCGGCACTTGCTGTGGCCGCTGCTGGACCTGCAGGCGCGATTGCGCCCCCCGCGGGCGAGGGCGCGTCTGGCGAGCGCGCGGCGCTGATCGCCGAGCTCGTGGCGCCGTCCTCTACGCCCGTGGACGTTGTCCATCCACACGACCCTCACGCTCGACCACCAGCGGACCCTCGTCTGGACGGTGCGCAGGGCGACGTGAGTGGGCTGGCCCTTCTGGGCCCCGCTGCTGCCTCGTGGTTCGGCCGCTGCATAGCATGCCCCAGGTGCGCAGTGGGTGATCCCAGGGGGGCCCTTCCCGTTCCGTTTGCTGCACGTGTGAGCCTCTCACGGAAGCTCGGTTGCAGCACTGCGCTGCGGTTGGGGCTCCATATTCTATAGCCTGCTGTCGTTAGTCTCGGCTGACGACACTGCAGACGGCCCCCACACCTTCCTCGGCGCACAGGAACCCGACACCAACACCAAGAAGCCACTAGAAAAGAAAACATTGCAGCCTCTGTTGAATGCCGTCGCCCGTGTCTTCGGGTTCGCGTGTCCAGAGTTGATGAATGCCAGCTCTGAGCGCGTGGGAACATAACGGGCCGTCTCCAGTTCCCCAAGTGAGCGTTAGGATTTCCATGGGCCGCGCGAGTCCCGCGGGCCGTGCGAACCCAGCCAGCCCCATGAACCCCACAAGTTCCACAAAGGGCTTCGTGGGCCGAACGTGCGCCGCAGCGCGCATAAGCCCAACGCGCCGCGCTGGCCCAGCATGCCGCGCGGGCACCATTGGCTCCCTGACTCGTCAGGGCCACATCTGGTTTCTGAGCCTTGGAAACCCGCGGGCCATGGGAGCCCCGTGGGCCTCAGGGGCGCCATGAGCTGCATGGGACGTTTCCCTATCATGGAAGCACCGTGGCTTGCAAAGTCGGAGAGCAACGCGAGCCATCTCAAGGTTTCTTGGCTTCGTTGGGTCGCTCAGCCCCCACAGGGAAAGCGCTCCGAACTTTTCCAGTGGCGTCTTGGTGCTGGTGCCGGCTTTTTGTTCCCTGCAACATCAAAAAGCCGACACCAGCACCAAGACCCCCACTGGAACGGCGGCCCCATGTGCGAGCTGAACCCTCGACGATTTCGGAAGGTTGCCACGGGCTGCGGGCTTGGGTCAAGAGGGGGCCACGGTCTTATGCCCAGGCCGCGACGGGCGGCGACCGCCCCCTTTCGCAGAGAGCGGCGGATTCGAACTCGCCGGGCCTTGGTGTCGGGCCAGACGAGGGTCAGGGATGCGACGCGGGCGGACATAGGGTGGGTGAGGGGTGGGGGGAATGAGAGGGGGGCGGGCGGGCGGGGGTAGGCGTGGTGGAGGGCGGCGGTGGGGGGAGTGAAGCTTCAGCCATGGGGGGTGCCGCAGCCTTCCCTCTTCTCTCCCTCTTCTCCCGAGAGCGCCCGCTAGTTTCGCTTCTCGCTTGCACTTGTTATTTCCTGCTTTCCCTCCTGCGTGCTGCGCGACGTCTCCCTTCCCCCGTCCTCTTCGCCCACTCTGCGATTCCTCAGGCCAGGGCGGGCTCGCGCTGGTCCAAAACGCAATTCGACATTTCGTGAAACAAATACTTTCTTGGTGCTGGTGTCGGCTTTTTGTTCTCCCACTTCCTGCTCCTCCTCCTGCTCCTCCTCCTCCTCCTCTCCCCTCCATCTCCCTCTCGTCTCCCCCTCTGCCTTTGTCGTCATCGTCGGCGGGGTCCATCTCCGTCGATCGGCGTCAAAGTCGAATTCAGCGTTGGCGTTGTCGTCGGCGTCGCCAAGGCTTGTGCTAGGGCTGATATTCCGAGGCGGAGCCAAGCGGGGACGAGGGCCCAACCCCGGAATGCCAAGAATAGGCGGAAGGCGTTGGAATGTTGTTTCCTCCTGTCGGCGTCTTTGTCCTCGTCGTCGTCGTCGTCGAGTTCTTCTGTTTCGTCGTCGTCGTCGCAATCGTCAATCTCGTCGTCGTCGTCGTCGTCGTCGTCGTCGTCGTCGTCTTTGCAGCCGTCGTCTTTGTCGCCGTCGTCGTTAATTGTCGTCGTCGCAGTCGTCGTCACCGATCGTCAATGTCGTCGTCGGTTGCGGTCTCGGGTGCAGGGTGAGCGACTACGCCGTGGGCGAGGGTCGTGACGGCCTCGCCGAATTGACAACGGCGCTCGCGGAAGGACGCCGGGGGGGGGGGGCGAGGGGGCTGTGGCAGGCCGTCGGAAGGGCGTCGTCGTCGTCGTCGTCCCCCTCCTCCTCCTCCTCCTTCTCGCTCCTCGTCCTCGTACTCGTTCTCCTAGTTCCTCGTCCTTCCCGTTCCTCGTCCTCCTCGTTTCTCCTCCTCCTACCTCCTCCCGCCCTCCTCGTCATCTTCCTCCCCATCCTCTTCTCCCTTCCTTCTTTTCGTCGCCTGCCTGTTTTTGGTTATTATTGTTCTCGTTGTTGTTGAACATTAGATTGGTTTTCTTGAAGAGTTATTCCTATTGCTTTCCAGTCTGGCGCCAGTGCTCACTCTGTTCTCTAATAAAAGTGCCCTCCCAGGGCTCGCACTTTGATTGTAATTGGGGGAAGTCTTGAGCCTCAGACTGAGCCCCTGGCCCCCAGTTTACAACAACCACAACAACGACTCCCGCCTGATACTTCCTCGCAGTGTCTTGAAAGTCGTGCTCTCGCTCGAGACCTCCTGACCATTAGCTAAGGAATTGCGCTCTCGCCCAGGACGCCCTGGCAACTTACTGAGGCGATGCGCTCTCGACGCCCAGGAACCGCGCTCTCGCACGAGACTTCCTCGCAAATTTCTCAGGGTTCGTGCTCTTGCCTGAGGCTGCTCCACAATTCACAGCACTCGTTTCAATGCCCCGCCCGCCCGACCCGCCCGTCAGGGCCCGCTCGCCCGACCCGCCCGTGAGGGTCCGCCTGCCCGACCCGCCCGTTAGGGTCCGCCCGCCCGACCTGCCTGCCAGGGTCCGCCCGTTCGCCTGCTTGGAAGCCCGCCCGCTTCAGTGTCCCGCCCGACCCGCCCGTTCGGGTCCGCCCGCCCAAGAGGCCTCCAAGAGGCCTCCCACGAGGGCCCCGCGAAGCAAGCATCCACGATCTCCCTAACGGTTTCGAAGGTTTTTGGCTTTCTCGCCTTGTCGGCTTTCCGACGCTCCGAGACGGGTCCGCCCGGAATTTTGCGCGCTTGGAAGCCCGCCCGCCCGCTTTGATGCCCCGCCCGCCCGACATGCCCGTCGGGGTCCGCCCGCCCTACCCCGTCTGTTAGGGCCGGCCCGCCAGTCAGGGTCAGCTTGCCAACATTATTGCTCCTCTTTTCTCTTTCCGCTTACTCTCCTTTGCCTTCAATCCTCGCTTCCGCCTGCCCCCCTTCCGTGCGCGTTTTCTCCCCCTTCCCTTGCTCTCTCCCGTTTCCGTGTCCCTCCTCTTCTTCTTTTAGAGGCCGCGCCAATTATACGTGGCAGGCAATGAAGATGTACGCCCCGAAGGGGTACGATCGAAGACGACGAGGGCGGGTATCGAGGGTTTGGGGTACGTGTGCATGTTGAGCAACACGCGAGCAACGAGCGAGCATTCTTCAACTGACCAGAGCCGATGGTGCTCTTATT